TTCCCATATTGGAGAAAAACGTTAAGGCTGGGGATAAAGGGTTCACTCCTTGATGTTCTACATGCATCAGAAATGGCTCAGAGAGAGCAGAATGAGCCATCAACTTCGGAATGTTGGCTTCTGAAAAGAATAAAACATCTTTCTATCCAAGTTTTACTCCTTTCACCAGCCCAGGCCTCACAGTAATGTTGGTCACCCTTGCAAGGAGCAGATTCCACACAGAGAAAACTTCAGTGGGAAAAACAAAGGGTTCAAAAGCAACATGGAGGCTTAAATTCATCTGATGAACATGGTGCTTTCTCAGAGGTGGTTTTGGTGGCAAAGCAACAAAATTGAGGCTGAATAATCAGGAATTCTTGAGAGCCTGAGAGAAAGAAAGGGAAGATGCAACTCCTGACCACCACCCGAAGCCTGAAAGCAAAGAAATAACCCAATTGCACTCTCAGCATTCCAGCCAGAACTCTCAGACTTAGAGGAAACACAATTGGCTTTAAATTGAACCTTTTCTGCAGGTTTTTGTTTGGCTGATTGATTTTTTTCCATTTGCAGATCACTGTTTTCATACAGGGATTTGATTATGGAGAAGCTCATTTATGCGATTGAAAGAAGTTTAGCTAAAAGACCCAAACATTTTTTTTCCCCCTTTGAGCTGGTGTTACAAAGCTGGAAATGTCACTGGGTGCACCCTGGGATCATCTGGGCGAGGACAGAGCTGGTGCTGAGGGAAGGCACCCTTGCCCTGGAGAACCCCCAGCACTGGCACAAGCTCCAGTGAGTAACAGAAACTATTTTTTCCTGCCTGTTTTACATCTCCCAGATTGTGAAGACAGTCTGCCCCAGATCTGTCATGGTATCATGCTACCATCACACACTCCTGAAGCGATTGGGGAGTGATAGCTCCTGCAAATCAAGTTATTTTTGTATTTTTAATTCTTCTTCTAACTGGCGGCTCGTGTTGGCTGTATTTTAAGGAGCAAAGATTTCAGCTAAAGCATTACTATGTCATTAACCAATTCATTGAATATTCATGATTTAGTGGATTTTTTTTTCCCCACAGAAGGAGAGAAGTAATTATTTTGGCTAGCACTTGAAAAGTATGTGTGTGCTGTTCACAGAACTGCACTGGAATGGGCAAAAATAGAATTTTTCTATTAGACGTGCAAACTGATCTCCTCTGCCTGATACTGACACATATCCTTTAGTTCTTCTTCTCTATTTAGTAACAATGTTTCAAGCTATTTTTTTCTTGGCAGGAATGTAATGAAAACGGAAAAAAAAAAAAAAGATAAAAAATAGAAGGAAAAAACCTCCGAACTCTTCAGTGGAGGCTGAGCCATGCCTTGGTTGAACCCTGATTTCGAGAGTGGAGTCTTGACACACCTTTTCAAGCAACCATTTTCTATTTGCTGTTGAAATTTAGTTCAGTGTTTTGGAGGAAATATGGGTGGGGAAGCTGCTCTCAGGCCTTGGGATGCCACAAAGCTTAACTGTCCCTGGTCTCCTACAGCCATGTCCTGTTGGTGTCCATCATCAGGGCAGGGTGACAGGACAGAGCCAGGTGGCAGAGTGGTGCCAGGGGGAGTTAAATTCGATATTAGGAAAGTTTCATCACTGAGGGTGGTCAGGGCCTGCCTGCAGCAGGGTGCAGTCAGCACCCCTGGAAGGGTTCAGGAAACACGTGGGTGAAGCAGGTGGGGACAGGGGTTAGTGCTGAACAGCGAGGTGGGGCTGGGTTCATGTTTGGACTGGGTGACCTTGGAGGTCTTTCCCAACCTTGGTGATTCTGTGATTCTGTGATTCAGTGGACTCTGATGTTTGTTGTTGTCTGAAGCATTCTGCTCTCCCTGGTTGCTGTAGGGGAGGTACAGAGGGATGTGTTAGTGGGTGTGTCCGTGGATAATTCTGCAGTTCTGTTCACACAGGTGGCACTGGGCTCCTTGGCAGCCCCAGAGAGCTGAGCCTTGTTCAGAATGTGCTGACTCAGGACACACTGAAGGGAATGGGATGCTTGGTGTGAATACTCTGGGGTTTCTTTGGTCTCCTCAGGCCAGAAGTCACTGGAGTACCACTGAACAAAACTGAAATAACTTCTCCCAAGTGAAAGAAATGAAGGGAAAGTTGTTGCTGTTGCTGAGAGCAGCACAGTAGAAGGGGCCTGTGGAACATGGAATGCTGCAAACCAGTTCAGAAAGGGAGATCAGCTTTTTCTCAGACTGCTTCCCTTAGTTGTGCAAAGGAAAGCACTGCCCAGCTGCCCCCGAGGCCAGCAGCAGGGCCAGCTGTCCTGAGGCAGGTGCAGCTGGGTTGGGGACAGTCCCAGGTGATGGGATCACTGTCAGCCAGCACAACTTCAGAGTCTGCTGCTTGCCTCTCCCCACAATAAAAGAACAGCAGCAACAGAAACCTGGGGAGCTTTTAGGAGTTAATCCCCCTGAACAGGGCAGGGGGGCTCTTGGCACATGTGTATTCTGACTTTTTAGCTCTTATGTTATTTCCCACACAGAGGTTTTTTTCCTTGCATTTTTTGGGACATCTTTATTCTCCTGCTGTGCTGTCCTCCCCAGGACCACACAATCACGGGTGCCAGGTGCCCTGTAGCCATCTGTCACCCTAAGGGGACTTATGGCTTTCTCCCTCCCTCCTGTTTTTTGGAGACTTAATTCTGCTCTTTTCTTAAGGGAAGTGGTGGTAAAAAAACCGCTTGCCTTGTCCTTCAGCAAGGAGCTGCTTCAAATTCTTGCATTCTTTTTTAAGATGCTAAGATTTATTTTTTTTTTAATTGGGATCATCTGTAACAGCCACGTGCCAAAAGCCTTTAAATCCAGCTTTTTCCAAACTGGTTTATAATTAAAATAGATCTTGCTGCTTCTGTGTAATGCACCAGCCTGACTTCAGTGGGAGCAGTGGTAATGAAGAACAACGGGAATGGGTCTTTATCCTAGGCTGCTTCAGAATAAGCAGCAGGTACTTTTCTGTTTGCACAAATATTTCTGCTCCTGACGGTTAAGGCCATGTAGTTTCCCGTTTTGGTAAACTACCCTGCCAAGTTGGGGTGGTGTTTGTTTATTTGTTTAATATAAAGTGCTTTTATTTATAGAGAAGAAAAATCTCAGTTGTCAGCTTTGGAAACAAACCTTCTCTTTATCTGTGCCAAAACACCCTTATAGAACCCCCAAACCAGCTTCCCCTCAGCGCCTGCCAAAAGCTGGTTTTCAGCAATTTGTGAGGTATTTTTAGCTTCACTCAAATCATTCACATTTTCACCCTCTTATAATGAACCTGAGTGTGGATGATGGACTGACCACAGTGTTTTAGGGTCTGACTATGAGTTATGTGCCTACCCCTTCTCCAGGTTTGTAGCAGGATCCTAGGTCTGAACATACAAACCATAAAAGACTTCATGTACAGCTAGGACTGAATTAAAACTCCAAATCTTCCAAGGCAATTTTAGGTTTGTTTCCATGGCATTGATTTCTTTGTTGGTTTTTTTTCTTTTCGTTTTAATTATGGATTGAAGGTGAGAGGGGTTATTCTTACCTTTTGAAAAGTTGCCTTGTAGGATACAATGACTCCAGGTTGTTTGAATTTCTAATGCCTGTTGGTGCCATCTTTCTGAAAAGCAGGGTTAACCGTGGCACATGGATAAAGCTCGGGAAACGGGAGTTACTGGGGTTGTTCAGTAGTGGCTGTGCCCTTATGAGAAGATTCAGCATTCAGGCATTAAAATCTTGGATGTGAATTGTAGTTTATGATGTTTATCACTTTACCTCACGTCAGGGTCTGAGGTACAGGCGATCCTTGCTAAGGACACCCATGACAGTTCGGGAGTCATTCCCTGGCTCCGGCACGGAGGCTGTGGGGAGCCTGGGGAAGCAGGATGCTTCCTTTGTCATTCCGTGCCGGGGCAGGGAAGCCAGGGTTCCGAGGGAGAGGACAAAGCTTCCATCCGGGAAAGCGGGGAGCACAATCCAGGAGAGAGCCACGCACCGGCCCGGGGGCTCTCAAACTTTCTGTGACACCGAGCAGCCCGAGCGCGTTACCGCGACCGGCACGGCCCGGGCACCGTGCGCTGCCCATCCCCTCACGGCCCCGGGCATCGTGCGCTGCCCATTCCCGCACCATGCGCTGCCCATCCCCTCACAGCCCCGGGCACTGTGCGCTGCCCATCCCTGCCCGGCACGGGCATCTCGGCACTCCGCACGGCTCCGGCACTCCGCACTCGCATCCCCCTCACGGCCCGGGCACCCCGGCACTCCGCACCCCCGCCCGGCCCCGGCGCTCCCCATCCCTCAGGCCCGGCGGGGGCCATACCCGGCCGCGCTGCCCGCTCGGCCCCGCCGCAGCCCCCGCACCGCTCTCGGGCCTCCACGCCGGGCTGTGGCGGCGGCCGGGCCGCTCTCCGCAGGCGCGGGCGCTGCGCGGGGGCTCTGCCGCAGCCGCCGGCCCTGCGCGGGGCGGGGGCTCCGCCGCGGCCGCCGTGCCGCCCCTGCCCGGGCTCCGTGAGGGGCGGGCGCCCCGCGCCCCCGCCCGGCCCCGGCCCCGCTCCCGCTCCGCCCGCGCAGGGAGCGCCGGTCCGGCCCGCGCCGCGCAGCAGCGGCCCCGCTCCCCCCGCGGGCCGGCGGAGGCGGGAGGCGGGCGGGGGCCGGGCGTTGATGCCGGCGTTGATGCCGGCGCTGCCGCCGCTGCTGCCGCAGGGCTCCTCGGCCCCGCGGCCGCCCCGCAGCCCCGGCGCGGCCGCCCTGCGCGGGGCATGAAGTTGCGGCGGCAGCTCGGCGGGCGGAGCGGGGCGGGCGGCCCCGGCCGCGCCTCCTCTGCGGGGCCATAGTCCGGGGCGGGCTCGCCGCGCCCGGCTGAGCGGTGCCGCTGCTCGCCAGCCCTCCCGCTCCGCTCGCCGCCGCGGTCTGCGGCCAGCGCGGCCGGCCGGGGCGCGCTCCCCGCGATGTGCGCGCAGCGGCGGGCGGCCGCCGGCCCGCTCCCATAGCCCTGCCGGCAGCGCGGCGGCTGGCGGGGCCCATCGGGAAGTTTGATGGCTTCTTTGAGGAGAGTCAAAGTGCTGCTGGTGTTAAACCTGATCGCCGTGGCTGGCTTCGTCCTCTTCCTGGCCAAGTGCAGACCCATCACGACCAAGAGCGGCGACTCCTTCCATGACATCCATCCCAGGGCAGAAGTGGCCAACTTGACAGCCCACGGCATCAGCTCCATCCAGGATGCGGTGCTGAAGAGGCTCTCGCTCCTAGAAGACATCGTCTACAGGCAGCTGAATGGTAGGAACAGTTCTCCCGCTCTTTAATGCCTTCGGGGTACAGTGGGTGATGGTGAACCGAGCTCGGAGCAGGTGCCCGCCTTGCCTGAAGTTTGCATGACGGACCCCTGCTCTCCCCTCTATTGTAGTGCAAACGGAGTCTCAATAGACTGAATCGATTTAGCATCTCATTTTCAGGTTCCGCGTGTGTCTAAAGCTCGGGGTACCTTGCACAGGATGGAAGGAAATGGTAATAACAGAATGCTGCCTTTCAGATTTATAGCGGCGGTCAAAAAATGAGCGGCGCGATTTCTGCATCAAACGAGCCGGGTGTGCAGTGGGTGAACACGGGTTGGAGCAGCACAGGGTGTATTGATCGAGGGAATGGCTTTTACTCCCACAGAGCTGGGTTTGGAGAGGAGTTTTCAAATGGCTCAAGTGTGTTGCATCATTTGAGTGCAGAAGGTCAGAAAGCAAAAGGCACTTTCTCTAAGAAGTTAAGCAAACTATTCAGTATTTCCTATGGCTTAGCACTGACAACTGCTAATTAAAATCTCAAGTAATTCTTCTCTTTATAGCCCAGAAAAGGGATTTCTATTAAAATCTCACCAGGTTCAGTAGTTCAGAGATGTAGAAAGGGAGTTTTAAAGATGCTGTGCAGGATAGAGAAACACATTGTAAAGATATAAGAAATCTTAAGTGAGGTATCTAATTAAAATACTCACTGTGGAAGCTGATTTTTTTAAAGTTGTTCCCCACAGATTCACAACTGGGGGTGTAATTTCAATCAAAGGTCTTGTTTATTGCTTCCAATCTCTGTAGCTTTAATCCCTGCAAGTTTCTGTGTGTCGGAATGAGCAGAGTTGGTGTCTCTGGCAGTGTCAGAGTGATTCTCTCTCTGAGTTTGGAATATGGAGCTCATGCCCCATGCTCTGCTGTGCTGAAGCGAGAGCTGGTCTGTGCTGAGTGTCTGTGTTGAGCCTGAACTGTAGCTGGTGTCACTTTGCACCCAGGAGGAGAGGCAGGTGCAGAGATGCCGCGTGGCTTTCCCGGAGCATTTGGCTAGGGCAGTGGCTTTGGGGACAGCACTGGAGAACTCAGCTGAGGAGGAAAGTGTTACTGATATTCCCACTTTATACACTTGCATGAGAAACATGCCCTGCCTGTGCCTGGCACCACGAGATGCTGAAGTGGCACTGGTGAGCAATAAACAGAGAAGTGTGACAATAACGAAGAATAAGGTGGAAAGTTGATTGTTATTTGCAATCAAAGTATGAAATTGCATGCTTCTGGATCTTGCTAGGGCAGAAGTTTCCGGGAGGATTTAGGCAGTTACTTGGGCAATAACTGCAGCTCAAAATAAGAGCCTTATTCTAGGATGCTGGACTAGGATAGGACAAGTGATCATGCAGCAGTCTGCCATCCCTGCAGCCACAGGGTGAGCTGGGGTTATCACTCACTGCCCTTCTGTGGAGGTTAAGGTGGGACTCCCCACCCTGCCCCGCCCCAGGGGCTGCTCTTGGCGGTGGCTGGGGCTGGTGAGAGGAGCTGCAGGGGCAGGGAGAGCTCGGTGCTGTCCCCGGGCTGCTCTGGGCACGGGCAGCGCTGTCTGGAGCCTGCTCAGTGCTGAGCAGCAGTCATGCACCTACACACCGGGGGAGGCAGAGAGGGAATAGAAACGTTGGCATATCACAAACGTTTTCTCAGGGCAGGCAGAAAGCTGAGCACATAAATGTGACATCTTGTCTGGCCTCTGCATCCTGGGGTGATTTATAGCAGCACTGATCAGTCTAGCTGAAAAATAGCTCTGGCACAGCACTTATGTAACTTTGGGTCAAGTGTATACTTGGTACGTGTGGTTTTGAGAGAAGCTCAGTGCTCTGAGGGGTGGCTGTGGGCTGTGCTTCAGCAGGGCTGGGGTTTACAGAAACATGTGGGGGCCAGGTGAGCCCCATCCCCACCCACCAGCACTGAAAGGAGACGGCCAGGGGCACTGGGACAGCCTCTGGGACTGAGGATCAGGAGCAGCTGGATTGGCTTTCCCGCCAGGAATTTTCTGTGCGTGGATCAGCGTTCATCCTGGGCACTTGAGGAACGCCTGAAATCTCCTGCAAACAGGAGCTCACCACTTCTCTTTGAGTTTTGTGCTGATAGTTTTGTGCTGGTGCCTCACAAACCCTGCCTCAGCTCTGGGCTAAGCTCCCTGCACAACGACCCACTGAGCTTGAAATTTCTCTTTTGGTTCTAAAAGGTCATGTTTCATTTGAAATCTGACCTGTGGTTTAGCAGCTACAAAATCATGGAATAAAGTGTCCAAGGGGTGGCAAGTGGAAAGCCTGCACCTCACAGAGCACTGGGACGTGTTTGGCCAAAGAGAGAAGCTGCAACCCAGTCTCAGTGCAGCCAGCTATGGACTTCTGCATTACAGGACTTGGCTGGATTTCAGTGGAGTTGAAGCTATCTTTAAAAACATGAATGTCTTCAAAAGCTCCATTCTGTACAGATGAAATGAGCAATCTGATCATACCATTGCAGTGGGTTTGGTTTGTGAGTCATGTAGTATAAAGCATATTGGAAATAACAGCTCTCAGTGGTACAGCAGCCCTCATGTTTTATATGTGTGTATTTATTTATCTCTGTAAAGGTTGGCCATAAAAACAAGCTAAACATCACAAACATCACTGCTTTGGCTCTGGGAAAGGAGGAATTTGACACAATCCTTCTGTCTGAATGGTGCTTCTCTGCCATGCCATTCTGAAAATAACACCAGGCTCCCTCTTACTCCTCTCTGGGCAAGAAGAGCTGTCCCAAAGATGCCCAATCTGTACATTTGCTTTGTTCTTTCTAAAAGTTGATTATTGCTCTTTAACTTATTGCACAGGTTGTGGGGTTTGCTCTTTGCTGATCTCTAATTGATGCCTCCCACACACAGAAGTCCGAGGGTGCCCTTTGGAATGGAGGGCTTTGTATGTGCAGGCACTGATCTGGGAATTCAGATTTTTAATTTCTGCAGTCCCTTTCATGGATGGAATTCTCTTGTCTAGCAGATGTCCAGAAAAAGCTAAGGAAGGTCAGAAAGGAACGTGTGTATTTTACTCTGGGTGATAAGTAGAACTTGTCTTTTTGATCCAAGCTTGTTTCTTTTGTGTGCTGACGTTTACATAAGTACAAATTGTGATCCAGATTACTTGCAATTTTATGAAGATTTGCACAAATTAACTTTGTAAACTTTGTGATTACAAAGAGGGAGTTTCTGTGCTGTGTGACCAGGTGAGGAGCTGAGGGGAGCAGAGACTGACAAAGGAGCATTCAGCATTTTCAGGATCCGTGTGCTGCTTCCTGGGAAGTACTGAGCAAAATCTTCCCATTAACCCATCCCATTCCTCTGGGGCTAATATAGGAACCCATTAATGATTATGAGGAATTTGAGAAATTGGTTATTTATAGGACCCAGAGACAGCAAAGGTGGGCCAAGCTTTTAACTTTTAACATCCCAGTGGCTGGAGGGTGAGTGACATGAGGAAAGCTGGTGTTTGTGTCCAGTGTCTAAAGGTACTGTGAGACCCTCTCAGGATGGGTCAGTAAATGATGCTGCCATTGGAAAATAGGGATTGCAGGAGGGAGAGAACTCTCAATAAAGCCTGGGTTTGGGTGTGGGGAGCCATCCCCTGTACCTGCCACGTCTAAGCATCTGCAAAAGATGTGAGCACGTCACCTGTGCTGCTCACTGGGGACCTGAGGAACCTCCCAGGCAGCCACCTGCCAGGCTCTGTATCCAGCTGAGGTCTGGCTCATGGATTAAAGCCTCCAAGCAGCATGAAGGCTGGAAACTCCCTCTCTGGTGCTTGGATATGGTGGATTCACAGCAGCAGCTGGTTCCAGTAAGTGCTCAGCTGTCAGGAAGCCAACGTCACAGGGATGATGTGGCATCTACCTGAGCACTGTGGAAAAATAGCACAGAAAGTCTGAACTTCAAGCTAAATACTGGTAAGACAAAGAACAGAAGGGCATTGCTGACTCATCCAGAGCTCTTCTGTTAAATTTTATTTTGTGGTCTCTCAGCACATTGTAGAATGACTGAATGGTTTGGGTTGGAAGGGACCCTAAAGACCACACAGTTCCAGCTCTCTGCCATGGGCAGGGACACCTCCCACTATCCCAGGGTGCTACAAGCTCCATCCAACATGATGTATAAGATCAGGGAGAACTAAAGCCATTTGCAAATTGTTGTAAAAGAGAGAGCAGTGATGAAGGAGTGCTGAAGTGAAGCTGGCCAGAAGAGGGGTGAACACAGAGGGCTTCTTCCCCTGTGCTAAAGAAATGCACAGATCATACTGCTGCTTTTACCAAATGTTAATGTTGAAAAGGAACTTTACATTCCTTGGGGGTGAAATAAGCCTGTGTTCATTTTTTAAAGCAGCCTGCATCTGTGCTTTTGCACATGGAATAATGTGAACATGCTGAGGTATGGCCAAGTGCATGCTAGCAGCCTCCTGTGTTCTGGCTGTGCTCTCATCTGCTTATCCAATTAGGAAATTAACTTTGGGAGTGTTGCATATGGACATGGAGGCCAACACTGAACCACAACCCTCTGCACGGTGTTGCTATCCTTGTAAAGTGGCACTTAATTAACTTAAAACACTTTGGAGATACGTGGATTTGCTCCCATAAGGAAAAGATAATGCTTATCTTCTCTAACACTTATCATCCTCCAAACACATTACAAACTTAGCTAACCACTGAGTATAGAAATTATATATGTAAATAAGGCAGATTAAAAGTGGTTTTATCAGCATTTGGGAGAATGTAATAGCACTACACCCACAGACTGGTAATATTAAGGTTTTAATGGGTAGGTAATATATTAACTTAAATGCTAAGAAATTCCCTGATTAAGATAAATAACTAAGTGTAAATAACTGAGAGCAGGGAAAAGCTGTTTGTAGGCAGAAGGGCCCAAACTTTAATGATGTTATTGAGCTAAAATAGTTCTTTATACAAGCAGAGCCTTGGTGGGTGAAA